TAAAAAAAAAAAAAACCAACCTAAATTTAAAAAAAGAAAATCATATTGCTGTTGTTGTTGTATACTACTGAGCCAGAACCAAATCATAGCTAACCTTCTAGTGGGTTTTCAGAGGCTATAAATCACAAGGGAAGGGATTACCCATCTTTTTCCAGTGGAGCAGATAGTGGATTTGAACAAATTGCCTTTGGGTTAGCAGCATAATGCCTTACCACAAGGCCTCCAGTTTTGTGATTTAGACTTAGTTGAATAAATTCAGCAAAAATATAAGTTAGAAATTAAGCACTCTGTCCTTAAACTGTACATAGTTACCCTCCCTCTGAGCCATGAAACATACACTTTTCACTGAAGCTTCCCTTTCTCCTCTTTACATTTGAGATTTAATATGTACACTCTGCAGACTTCATTGTATACTGCAAACATACCTATGAGGATCATTTGCTCAGTTTGAATCTTTAGAATGAAAGAGTCTCAGGTTCAAAGTGTAACTTAACTGTGAACTGACCTTGTCAGCTTTTGTCCTAACTGCCAGTCCCTGACACTAAAAATATTCTTTAATTGGTAGCCTTATCATAACAACCACCATCAATTCTTTCATTTTTTTATCAGACCTATTTCTCCTTAATCTATACTCAGTTCCAATGCTGTATTCATATTGTACCCTTTTATTTTATAAAATTTTAAAAATGTCTAGAAGAAAACAGTATACAATCATGGGTAATGGTGGAGTATGCAGCATTTCATGCCACTGAGCATGGAGTCACATAAGCCAGGGCAGACTTGGTGGCAACTAATATAACATATATAACAAAAGGCATATCTAGAAGAAGTAACTAAAATCCTCAACTCTTTCTGAACCATGTCTATACCTGCAGTTAACATTTTCTGGAAAAATTCCAGGCTGTGGACTGAAGATGTTAGATTTCCACTCTTTCTTATCCCAAAACAGGCACTGGATCCACTGGAAATCCACTGTGTAGTTCACTGCTTTAGCTAAATATTTGTTTGGAGGTGTTCTGTCATAGTTAGCATCCAGTAATGCCAAGTAGCCTGAGTCAGCATCTAAAAATAGATAGGAAAGGGGTTGGGGGAGAAATAATCTGAATTTGACAAAAAGAAAAAAAACATTTTCTATTTCAAATGCAGATACACTAGTTGTCAGTTACCACAGAGCAAACAAGAATAGGAGTAGGAGATAATAGTGATTGAAGACCAACACTAAATTCCCCCACATAGGATGCAACAACCTCAATCTCATCACAATGCTGATCCCATGTGAGAGGGTTTTCCTGATGGGTGGCTGGTGATGGCTTTCATCTTATGAGATATAAGATGAGAGAAGTAAGGGGTACCATAAATCACAAGGAAAAAAAAAGAAGCTGGGGTGACAGCATCCCTTGGATATAAAAGGTGCCTGCATGGGAACCTTCTAGTTCCTGATGGTTGATGCTAAGACATATGGAGATATCCAAGAAATCAGGGGACTCCAGGTGCTGAAAAGAGAAAAGGGCTTTACTTTAGTACTAAAAGAGAAAGAAAATCTTCTCTTAAAGCCAGAACGGTGCATTTAGACTTGTAACCATTGGTTGTTTTTGTTGTTTGCTGTTAACTTGTGTTGTTAACTTGGAACTGGCCTATCACTGATCCACAGCAGATTTTCAGAGCCAGTAAATCACATGGAAGGAGATTGCTCTTACTTCTCCTGAAGAGCTGTTAGAAGATTAGAATTTGTGTGCCTTTGTGTTTGCAGTGCACCATTTTAACATGAAACCATCAGAACTCTGATAGCTTTTTGTTGTTAAGTGCTGTGAATTGGAGTAAAACTCATAGTTACACTATGAACGTCAGATCTGAACTTTGACCTAACCTGTGCCATCCCATAATTTCTGACATACTGAAGTCCACTGCAACAGTCAATGTGTCAATCCATCCAATTGATGGTCTTCCTCTCTTTGGCTGACCCTTTACTCCTCCAAGTGTGATGCCTCTCTCCAAGGAACAGCAGCATCTCCTAACAACATGCCCAAAGTCTGTGAGATGGAGTTTTGTCATATCTGTATCCAAGGAGCACTCTGGCTGTATTTTCTCCAAGGCATACTTTTTCCCTTTTGTTATTTTTGCTGTCCATGGGATATGCAATACTCTTCTCGAGCACCACAACTCAAAGACATCAATTTTTCCTCTGTCTTCCTTATTGTCCAGTTAGGAAGTGCCTGAAAATACTATGGCCTGAATCAGGAGCAACTTGGTCTTCAAACTGATATCATTGACCTTCAGCAATGGAGAGGTCCCTGGTAGCAGACTGCCCGATGCAATATGTTGCACTGATCTCCTGCCTGCTGATACCAAATGTGTTGACTGTGAATCCAAGTAAGATGAAGTCATTGACAGTTCTTTCAATCTTTTCTCCATTTATCAAAATGTTGTCTATGAGTCCAATGGTGAAGATTTTTGTCTTTTTGATGTTGATAACTAATCTATATTGAAGGTTGTAGTCTTTTATCTTCTGCAGCAAAGTGCTTCCAAGTTTCCCTCTCTTTCTTGCAAGCATGGTCTGTTATATGCATAATACAGGTTGTTGGTCAGTCTTCTTCCAATCCTCATGGCACATTCTTCTTCATTTGTCCAGATTTTTTAATAATTTCCCCAGTATACAGACTGAATAGGTATCAAAAGAATCTACAACCCTGACACACACCTTTCATTATTTTAAACTACTTAGTGTTCCTTCGCTCTGTTTGGAAGACAGCCTCTTGATTTAGATATAGGTTTCATATGAACACAATTAAGGATTCTGGGATTCCCATTATTTATGAACCACTCATGGGAGAAAGATGTACACTATTCTCTCATGCAGTTTAATGCCTCTGAAAATTTTCTGGAGGGTCAGCTGTGGGTCAGGTCCTACTCAACGGTACCCCAAAATAACCACACTTCAAGTTGCACTGCAAACTCAACAAAGACACCTCTTTGGCAGTTGGATTCCACTGGTGACTCAAAGGGAAAAACATGGGCAATCTCTCATCTGCTTTGTTTTTAGGTGTTTTCAAGTTAACTACAACCTAGGTAGGGGAATGCAGCAGTGAGAGAAGGATGAGTTTGGATGTGTTTCAATAATAATAATGATTACTACTGGGCATCCAGGTGCTAAAGAAAAAGGATTACTACTTTGATGTGAAAGTAGTGGTGAAGACTCCTGCTACGAATAAAGGTACACATGATGTGTGGACCCCTGAGATTGGAACAAGTGCTCTTGGTTGGAGATGAGTTGACCAGAATGAAGCCTCACTAGCTACTCTGTGAGCCAGTGTAAACTGCTGCAAGCTGATGGTTGGCTCTGACTGGATTTTAATTATGGATGTAGATACTCTAAGTTCCCACCAAAAGTGAAGATTGTCATAGAAAGAAATATGTGATAGGCAAATTAGAACTTGCCATGTAAAATGGGGAGAGAAAAAGGCAGGAAGTAGCTAAAATTTTAATGAGTAGTTAGCAGATGCATCCAGAAGCACATGACAAGCCAGGCTGGGTAGGCTGCAAGTGGCAGCACCCAGATGCAATACACCAGGATTTGGGCCAAGCCTGGAGGCCTGAGAGCAACAGCACCAGAAGCACATCAGGAGTTGGGCTGAGGAGGCTTCAGGCCACAGTACCCAGATGCAGCACGTTAGGAGGCTCAGAATGCCATTATCTTCATGGAGCACAGAGTTAAAGAATGGATGGCAGTGACTGGAGATCTGGTCCATTATCTTAGGGGTTAGTTAGAGGCCTCACCTAGCAGCCATTTGGAAGGGGGAGAGGGCAATACTGAAGGGGAATAACCAACTACAAATTTATGTCAGCTTTTGTATTGAGGAAGTGTCTTTGCATGTTAATAATCGTAACAGCTTAGATATAGATATGTTTGCTTGTCTGTCAGATACTGTACCAAGCTTAGCTCCCAAATTAAGACAGACTGAAAAGAAGGATTGGCCATCTACTTCTGAAATAATGGGCCTTCAAAAAAATCTATGAACAACAGAACACACTGACTATCTATATGCATACAGGGAAGATCTGTATCATTATAACTCAAATATATACACCAACAACTAGAGCCAAAGAGGAGGAAATAGAAGATTTCTACCAACTTTCACAGTCTGAAATTGATTGACTATGCAACCAAATTCACTTATAATAATTGGTGAGGATAATGCAAAAGTTGAGAACAAGGAAGAAGGATCAGTAAACTGAAAACATGTACTTAGTGGCAGAGATGAGGCTAGAGATAGAATTATAGAATTTTGTATAATCAATTATTTATTCATTGGAAATACCTTTTATAAAAACACAAATGACAACTATACAGACGATGTCATCTGATGAAATATACAGGAATCAGATTGATTACATCTGTGCAGAGAATCATTGGAGAAGCTTGACTGAGAAAACTAGGCCAGGTACTGATTGTGGAAAGACAATCAACTCAAGTACAAATTCAAATTGAAGCTAAAGAAAAGGAAAACAAAGCCCCAAGAACCAGTTCACAGGTGAGGAAGTGATTTGTGCCTCCAACCCCCAGCCTCCCACTCCTGCATCAGATTCTAGGACTGGGTAGAGCCCTACAGAAGGTTCAGCCCACCACCCTTGAACTAGAGAATGATCACCACTAAACCCCACTTTTAATCACCTTATTGGTCTCTTTTGGCTCACAGGTTAAGGAGATCACCAAATATCTAAAATCTTATCACAACATCAACGGAAACTTGAATAAGAATGAACTGTCTCTCTCAGGGAGGAGTGATAGGGAATGGCAAAGAACCCACTGACAAAGGAGATTAATCAGAATTGGTTTTGACAAGCACTGTGGCAATTGGACAATTAAAACAGACATGGTGGGGGGAAGAAGAACGAACTGGGGAGGAGGGTAGAGAAAACAGTGCAAAAATGAATTAATGAAAACCCAAAATCTCTGTAAATGTTCATTAAAACTAATAAAATTTAATAATAATTTTTAAAAAAAGAATGAACTGTCTCATAGAGTAGAGAAGAGAGGTACTTTGGCCTTAAACACAACTATCTAGCTATATCATGTAGGATTTCTTAAGGTCAAACAGAAGATAATAGGTGGAGCCACGGTTTCTGGAGGCCAACAGCCATCCTGAATCAGGAAAACCAGAAGGAAGCAACAATATATAGGTCCTTCACAAAAGATTGCCATACCATGGGATATTATATTGTTACAACAACATAACATCTCCTAAGAAAAGACTCATGTAATGTCAAAAAAGCAGCAGTTTGCCTCAGTCATCATGTAAAAAAGAAAATAACCTATCTCCTAAAAAAAACAATGAATACTTACCCCAGATAGAGAAAACAAGAAGAAATATACTGATGTGGAGTTATTTGAAAAGCGACAGAAGAAGATGCAAAAGATGGAAAAAACAATGGAAGCCAATAAGAGAGCAAATCAGAGACAGCAATCCAGAAGAAATATATTGATGAGGAGCAACTTGAACAGCTATAGAAGAAAATACAATATATGGAAGAAAGAATTGATAGTATAGATAAAGAGGTACAAGAACTTAAAAAATAATCACAAGATAGAGAGGATACAGCAGACAGAGTACTAAAAATAACAGGAAAAACATCAAAATGCAATACAGATTATAAAGACTGAAATGGCAGAAGTATCCAACATGGGACAAAAAGTAGAACTGAAGAGGAGGAACATAAAATAGGAGAACTTCAGAACACCACTATCACCAAAAGATAGCTCAGCTTAAATGGAAATGACCAAAGATGCTGCAGAGAAGATCTAAACTATACAATCAGCCAACTCTACCTTGTTGATGTATTCAGGATACTGCACCTAACTAAAACACAATTCACTTTCTTCTCAAATGCACATGGTATATTCTCCAGAACTGATCATATTTAGGACACAAAACAATGCTCCACAAGTTAAAAAACATTGAAATAATACAAAGTATATTTCTCAGATTGCAATGCCATAAAACTAGGAATTAACTATAGAAGGGTAAAGCTTGCAAAACTATCCATGTGGAAGCTAAATAACTCTC